GTTTCTAGATTAAAAGCCCTTTACACAGGGCTCTCCTGCAAACGGTTGTCTTGCTTCCACTCACGCACCATGGCCCATGTGCCCCCCCAACACACCCACCCACCCTCTCTAATGCAGACTCCACAGGAATCATAATTTCTACACTGTGACCAACTTAAAGCCAGAAACTGTGTTTGTTAACCTAATTTTTTATGCAAAATAAATATCTATAATAATTTACTGAGCCTTCAACTTCAGCAACATCATACACACATTATGTGATCTTCTTTGCTTTTTGTGGTCTTGGGATCAATGCCAGCCTTGTACATGCTGAACATACCATCTAACACTGAGTTTTATTTCCAGCCATTTTTCTCTTTTATTTTGAAGTCTTGCTATGTTGCCCAGGCTAGCTTCGGATTGGCTGTGTAGCCCAGGCAGGCCTGAATATGTGATCTTCTTGCCTCTGTCTTCTGAGTAGTTGGGATTACTGGTGGCTGTTTGGATTTTAGGCCCCAAAGGCCCTAATGTTAATTAGCACCTCCCTGCTAGGAGAGGAAGCTTGGTAATTGACCTTTGAAGGGGATATTAGGATACCCCTCCCTACTTTGCTTCCCTGAGGCTGAGGTGAAAGTCTTCCTCCACCTCAAGCTGGGACCACCATGACGACACCGCAGGGCAAAGCAATTAGGCCAAGTGACCTTAACTCGTGGCCTAGGCCAAAACAAACCACTCCAGGTCATTTTCTCAGGCTTTGTTTTCCTCACTGCAATGGGTATCACAGAACACTATTTTCTCTCTGTATTTCACTGTTTGGTATTTTGAACAGCTCTGCAAAAGCTTGTATTTTATTTATTGTGTTTCTGTAGGAGGATGCGCATGTGTCACTGTACATTTGCGGAAGTCAGAAGACAACTCTTGGGAGTCAGTTCTCTCCTTCCACCGTGCAGGGCCTGGGACCGAACTCAGGTTGTCAGGCTTGGTGGCAAGTGCCTTTATCCACTAAGCCATCTTGCTGGCCCAAACTTGGTATAGGTGATACGCAAATGCAACACACCCCACATCTAAAATATATTTTAAAAACATAATCTTTGCATATGAATATTTTGCCTGTATGCACATAAGCATGTATGTATACCATGTTCATGCCCAGTTCCAGCACAGATCAAGAGAGTGTCAGCTCCCCTGGAATTGGAGTCAAGGATGGTTGTGAGCCAACACATGGGTCCTGGGAATTGAACTCTAGTCCTCTGAACGAACGACTGCATTTAACCCCTGACCCATCTCTCCAGCCTCCCATGCTCGTTAACATAAATGATCTGTTCTTTCTTTACGAAGTGCCAATAACATCTCATTATGCAGCTATGCCACTCTGAGGTGCCCCTCCTGGCATGGGCTCTTCCTCTTTTCTGAACCCGCTGTCTTGCTGTTCCAGTGTGGATATGCACTTTCATTTCTCTTGGCTCTCCTCCCAGGCGTGGAGCTGCTGAGTCACCCAACCCTTCTGCCTCTTGAAGGGCTGCCTGGCTGCCTTACGCTCCGCCAGCGTACACCGCTCTGCCGGCGACATCTGGGTGCTCAGCCTCTCCTCTCTGACGCTTGCTCCTGTTTGTCTTTTTAGTCATAACACTGGATTATCAAGCAAGTAAACAACGCTAACAGAGGCCTTTCTTCCACCTCTGCACGACAGCTTTGGCCTAACCATAAAGTACAAAGAAGACAGTCACTAAATGGAAACACACAGGCTTTCTACACAGCCACGCACACTATACATACACACGTCGTTGTGTGTGTGTGTGCGTGCATGCTGAGGACTCAACCCAGGGCTTCACATTAAGCACTCTGCCAAGAACTACACCCCACCCCTAGTATTTGTAAACAAATGAGCAGACTTCCTTTCATTTGTATGTTGCCTTCAGAATGCACTGAATTGTTGAGAGGCTCAAACAACCTGACTCATAAAGAGTATGAATTCAGAATCTCATCAGAGACCGGAGAAAAGTAAGGGTGAGCAAGGCTCGTGATTAAGGAAGAGTGGAAAACCTTGTTCCCCTAAGCCGCGTCTGTTTGCTCTGAGACACTGGCTCTCAATATTTTTTCTAAATGTGGCATTAGTTAATGTTCAGAAAAGAATGTTAAGCTTCAAACCGGCTTAGTTAGAAAAATCAAAAGCCAGCAACTCAGAGGAGCTGAAGGGACTGCGTGAGCGTGTTGGCCGCCCGGAGTCTGCTAATTGCAGTCCCAGGGATGGAGCGGGCACAGGGAAAGCCACTAGTCTCCTATCTTCAGCAGACAGATGCCAGGCTTTGAAGTAGAGGCGGCAGACAAGCGAACACTAGGGAGAGAATGCAGGGAGTTTCAAAAAGCGTAAAAAATCAGGTAAGGCCTGCCCATTTTGGCTTATACGTCGCCTTATCTGAAAACCATGGAGAAGAAGGCCAGCGAATGGTCAGCTCTCAACTGCAACTGGAATGCTTCTCTTTTTGCAATGGGAAGTCTGAAAACACACATGAAATACCCAAAATTCTTACAATGAACTCCACTCAGTTCAAAATGATCAGCATTTTGCTACTTTTTTTTTTTTTTCTTTTTTTGAGACAGGGTTTCTCTGTGTATCCTTGACTGACTGGACTCTATTTGTAGATCAGCCTGACCTAGCACTCAGAGATCCCCAGTGCTGGGATTACAGGCGTGCACTACTGTGCCTGGCCATTTTGTTACTTTATGTACCTGACTTTCATTTATTCTTTTTTCGAAAGGCAAATATAGCCATGTTGTTCAGACTGGTCCTGAAGGCCTTGACCCAGGGCCTTTTGCAGCCACATCCTCCTGAGTCGCTCAAACTTTATACCTATTTATCTATTACACATACACACATATATACATGTGTGTATATATATATATATACATATATATATGTAACATTTGTGTGTGCATGTGTTCAAGCTTGTCAGTACTCAAGTGCCATCTACTTCTGTTTTTTGTTTGCAGCAGGGGCTCCAACTGCGCTGGAATGGATGAAGTAGACAGGCCGACAGCCAGGGCCTCAGGGATCCTTGCCTTTGCCTCCCCTGCTGGGACTGTGCCACCAGGCCTGGCTTTTGGAGAGTTGGATGGACTGGGGTCCTCGTGCCTGTAAGGCGAGCAGCTGACTTACTGGGACGTGTCCCTGGCTCAGAAACTCACAGCTGGCATGACAGGGCATGACGGCACATGCCTGCGATCCCAGCCTGGGAGGTGGATGAAGGGGTTCAAGGCCATCCTTGGTTTCAAATGGGGTGCATGTGACACTGTCTCCTCCTCTCTCTGTCTCTCTCCTATCCAGTTAGATTTCCATCTCCAGGGGGGACCCACCCATCCTGAACTTCCTCTCGCTCGGCTTCTGGGTGTTGCTGCCTGGCATATTACTTTTATCTTTTTTAACTTAGTTTTGCATTTTGAGTCGGGGCCTCTCAGATAGTCAGGATGGCCAGGAACTGTCCATCAGTGATGACCTGGAGTCGTTGTTCTTCCTGTTTCTACCTCCAAAGTCATGGGATTAAAGTCGTGGACCCCCACATCGGCCTGGCTTCTAAATACATGTTTATTTATACCAAGACTCTCTGTACAAAAAACCCATTGTTAATAAACAGACACAGGAAATGACTAAAGTTGAGTCGGTTACTTGAAAGTTGAGTTGGTTACTTTTTTTTTTTTTCTTCTGCTGGACACAACCCAGAGTCACCAGGAAGGCGGGAACTTCAACCAAAGGACTGAACAGATGAGCTTGGCCAGTGGCCACTGGGCCAATGCTGATTGCGATGGCATGAGGGCCCTACCCTGTTCAGGCCTGAGTCGGCAGGCAGCAGCCCTCCAAGGCTGATGCTTCAGCCCCTGGCCTGACTCCCCTCAGCGATGGGGGGTGACCCGCAAGTGTAGGCCTGACATAAACACTTTCCTGCCAGGTTGTTTCTGGTCAGTGTTTTCTCACACAGAAAGAAGGAACTGTGCCCAGCACCACGAGTTCGGAAACGGGCATCAACAGACAGTAGGGCTTGGGAACAGGGGTCCAAAGGCTAGGAACCAGATCTTACTGTGGGCGCAGTCTGGCACTGACTGTCCAGGCTCACAGGACAGCTTGAGTACAGATCCGGTTTCATCATCACTGACCTTAAGATCTTAGGCTGGCTCGCTCTTCTGAGTCTAAGTTTACCGGGTAAAGTAGGCCTAGCCATCTCGAAAAGGGCACTGTACAAACTGAAAGTGGCGTAGGCGTACAGAAAGGCACACCAAGGTGTCCTGTGATACTGATTCCTTTCCACACTGGTCCTCTGCGAGCCTCTCAGCGCTCGGTCAAAGAAACACGACAGGCGGTGTATTATCTGATCTCCCTTACCAGAGGACAGTCAACCGATCATAGAGGTCCGCCAAGCAGCACAGGAGAGGCCAAGAAGCCCGCCCAAAATGGCAACATTCATTTCACCTTCCTACATCCTTGCGTTCGTGTGGTCCGACTGTCTCCACGGCCTTCCGGTCTGCAAAGGCAGTCTGTTAAGCCGTGCTGTCGTTCCAGGTCAGACTGTCGGCCGGCAGGTCGGGGAGCCTCCCACAGCACCCCATTTGGTCCTGATGCGGGCAGCAAGCCAGGGAGAGCGGCTGCCTCCCCCAGCTCTCCCGAAGCGCGCAGCCCAGAGGGCGTGTCCGAGCTCGGGGGCGGGCCGTCCCGCCCCGCCCCCTCCAGGGTGGTGCTTGGGCGCAGATCTTAAACTTGGGCAAGTCTGCCACGGGCCCCGAGCACGTGCAGCGTCCTCGCCGGGCCGGCCTCGCGCCCTTCCCCACCGGCCGGCCCCTGCGCGCGGGCCCCGCCGTTCCCCTGCGCTCCCCCGCGACACGCCGCTCCGGGCTCCGGGAGGCGGCGGCGACGCGCAGCGGGCGCCCCGAGGAACCCCGGGAGGCGGGGTCGGGGCGGGCCGGCGCTCGGTTCCCGGAAGCCGCCGCCTGCGAGGCTCCCGCCGAGCGGACCGGCGCGGCGGGCGGCCGGAGCGCCAGCATCCTCTCCCCCGCGCCTGCCGGGACCGCGCGCGCCGCCGGCCCCGCGAGCCCCCGGCAAGATGCTGCCGGTGCACCCCGAGGTGAAGCCCAACCCGCTGCAGGACGCCAACCTCTGCTCGCGCTTGTTCTTCTGGTGAGTGCCTCGCCCGGGCCCGTCTCGCCGCCCGCGAGATGCTCCGCGCCGGCTCGGCCGCGTGCCCCACGCTCCGCGCGGGTCCGACACGGTCGGGGGACGCGTTCCCGGCGCGGCCGCACACTCCCTGCTCCCCGTCGCGCGTGCGCCGAGCCGCCTTAGCGCCCCGGCGGCACCCCACGCCTGCGCCGAGCCACGCCGGGAGGGGCACGCCGGGACAGGGGGCAGGCACTGAGCGCCCACCAGAAAGCGCGGGGATCCGGGGGCGGTGCGGAGGCGTCCTGGAAGGTGCACCCTGCCCGCCCGCCTGCGCTGGTCTCCGATGCTCCGCTCAGGGCTTGCACGCTCCCGCGCCCAAATGCACCTCTTTTCCTTTCTCTTTAAATGAAGCAGCCGGGAACATCTGGTCTTCTCGCAGCTGAAGCTAGGGGCCTGCATCGGAGCCAACCTCAAGTGTCCCGCCGCTTCTGAAGCACCTCACCAGACCTTTCTTTCAGCTCCACCTATTGCCACTGTGGGTGCTTGTGTGTGTGTGCAAGGAAGTTCTATAACCTCTAAGACCCATCTCTCTCTCTGACCCTCTCTGTCGTGTTACCTCAGTTGGCTGATCGCGTGCGGGGGAAAATGATGTCTGATTTACTTTTGAATGGGGACACTGCTCTGGAATAGGATCTCCGTAACGTTTCCTTCCATCACTGACATGCAGCCGTGGTGGAGCTTGTCTCTCTCCCTGTTGGCCTGACTTTTTATTTCTGCCTTTGGTGTATGCCTCGCTCTTGAGGACTAGTTTCTGAAGCCTGTGGGGTGTTCAGAGACAGAAGCCATGGCCTACAACCACGGATGGGTTCCCTGTCCCAGCCCTGCCCCTTTTATTGTAGGAAGCAGGTGAAAGTGACATTCCTAAGTACTTTTCCATCTGGTAGCCCAGGGCTGGCTATTACTCACGCCTGGCTAACTGGTATAGTTTTTCTTACCTCTGCCATTTCATCTTTATCACATTCTGATGTTACCTTTTTAAAATGGGAAAACCTAGGGGACTTCAAAGAGTCATTTACTGTTTTAAGTGTGTTGTATACTGTGTGCGCAGGATCTGACGCTGGTCGCTTGGTAGGGAGGAACATGCAGGAAGGAGGAAGATGGGTGAGTGGGTATAACAAAATACCTCAAAGCAGGTGGGCTGTCTTGGTCTCCTGAGCTTTTTGCAAAACCCAGAACTCGTGATGACCTTTCTTGGAGTGGACTTTCAAAATGTAGGTGAAGGGAGGAGAGCTGGGTGTGGTGGCACACCTGGAGGCCTGGTTTCTTGGAAGGCTGGGCTGGGAACCCTTGAGCCGCAGGAGCTGACCAGCTGGGACAATGGAGCAAACATTTTGCTGTTTGTTTAAGATGGCCTCCTTCTGTAGCTCTGAGTGCACAGCAATCCCCCTTGCTGCCTCAGTTTCTCCAGTGCTGGGATTATAGGTGTGAGCCCACAGTCTGTCAGTACCCAATCTTAAAGAATGTAGTAGCTGGGTGTGGTGTCAGCTGCTTTTGAGCCTTTAATCCCATCACTCAGAGGCAGTTGGATCTCTGTGAGTTCAAGGCCAGCCTGCTCTACCCAGTGATTTCCGGGGTAGTCAAGGTTATACAGAGGCTTTGCATTGCTGTCTTGGGTGGGCACCCATTTCCGCTTTCCAGCCGGGGACAAACTGGCTGCACCTCCGGTTCCTACCTGGGTAGGTACCCAAGCGGAGGTGTTTCCAGTAAGCTGTCTAGGGTCACACAGTCCTGAGTGTCCGGCAGGAGCCACGCCTGTGAAGTGTGGCTCCTGGAGCGTCTGTATGCGCTGCTTTTCCTGGGGATCAGGCCCTCCCGCAGTCCCACCACCGACGGTGCGCGTGAAGTGCCCGTGGTGGATACCGAACAGCAGGGCAGTCGGCGCTTATTAGAAGATGCAGGTTCCCCGTGCCCCTCCAGACTGATTTAGTGTAGTCGGAATGGAGGTTCGTGTCACGCCCCTGTTGGTCTCAGAGGGGCCCAGGTGGTGCCAATGAAGGCTGAGGCTGACTCGCTGTGCTGTGGCATCGCCATTCCCGGATTGCACTTTGCAGGAGGGTTATGACTTGGTGAAGTCACCTGTGTGCAGAGACGACATCTTGTGCCTAGCTACCCAGCGCATCATTTCTGCACTGCGGCGCAGTGGTTTCCCGTAGAGGTGGCCCTCATTCACACTGTATTAAGGCGTGTCTTTGTATATCTGATTGGGGAATCTCCTGTCTCAGTGTTGTCTCTCCACTTTTCCCTCATTGGTTAATAAAGAAGCTAAAGAACCAGTGACTGGACAGAGGAGACAGGAGGCGGGACTTCTGTTCCCAGTCTGGGGGTCCCATGAGGAGAGGAGAGCTGAGGGGAGGGGAGAGAAGAGGATGGAGCCACGAGGCTGGGCCCGGAGAGAAAGGTGGCTGGATGGAGAAGGTCGCCTTGCCATGAGTAGTAGGAGGTCTCCATGGAGGGGTCAGTGGGGACAAGGATGGAGCAGAGGGGCCAGGTGAGACCAGAGGACAAGTAACGGGGCACATGCTGGGACGTAGGCCAGGCTGACACAGTCCAGCTAGAATAGATCAATAGCTGACCAGTTATGGTCAGCTTATTATAAATGCAACAGGTCTCCATCTCATGGGGGGCTGGAGCCGGCATGGAGGGAGCCCTCAATTCCAACAGTTTCCTTTTGCAGCTGCCCTGCTACAGTTGGGAAAGCCAGACTTTTCACCTTCTTTCTGGAGTGTTTGCTTTTCCTCCCACACTTGATCTGCTTCCCAGACTCCTGACTTGGTAGCTACGCAGCCAGATGACGACAACCAATACTATAAGCCTTCATAGCGTTTTGGTGAATTTGTAACATGGTTTGATTTTGGCTGTACATTAAGATTATTGAAAATTGTGGATTTCAAGAGATGGCTGGTTTCCATGTAAGAAACTGAAGACTGGAGACGCTGGGACGGAATAGGATGCTTTGACTTGGCCCAGTGCGCCTGCCTGCTGGTGTCTGAGCTGTCTCTTGCCTGCATTGGTGCATCAGCGCACACGTTTGCAGGAGCATCTGACAGGAAGTAAAGCGGCAAATCCTGCTGCAGACCGTTACTTTTATGGTGGACTTCTCTGTGTCGCCTTTAAGACACGGTATTTTCTGACTGTAGCTTATGCGGTTTCTCACTGTTGTTGAGCGCAGCGGTGTGGGATGAGTCCATGCCTCCTCTGCCGCTCGCTCCTCGCTCCTCGCTGGGCTGGAGTAGAGCCTTGTGCAGGCTGCTCATGATCTGTACCACCGGCCTCAGGCAAGCTCCATCGTGCATCTCTTTCACATCCCGGGGTCATCTTGATCCCTGCGGATGTGTTTTAGCTATTGTGTTGTTTTAACTACGGCTGCCAAAGTTTCATGTCATTAGAAATGAATGGAATGGAAGATATCGTATGAACTACTGTCTCCAGCAGGGCTGTGGTGGCGCACATCTTTAATCCCAGTCCTCTCTGGAGGCAGAGGCCGGCCTGGTCTACAAAGAGAGTTCCAGGACAGCCAGGGCTACGTGGAGAAACCCTGTCTTGAAAACCTAAAAAGAAAAATGAAAAACAAAACAACAAAAAGAACTACTATATCCGCTGGGGATGGGGGTTGCCCTGCTTCCCTGCTGCCCCCTGGTGGTGCCAGCAACATCCAGCAAGGCCATGGGTGCACTCCCTACTCCTTGGTCAGGCCTGCTACCCTGGGGGTGGCCTGGGTTGCAGCAGCAGATGGAAGGCCCACTGGGAGGCGCTTTCCCAGGGTGCCAGTGTTGAGGGACTCCAGGGGACAGGTGCACCTGGCCCCAGAGAGCAGTTATGTCCTCCTTCCCCTGTGGCTGGCTGTGTCGCTGTTGAGAGGTGTCGCCTTGCCGAGCCCATGCTGTTGTAGAAGCTGCCACTTGGGGTGGGGCAGAGCCTGGGGAGCAGGCTTAGGCAAAGCTCATGGCCAGAGGACAGCAATGCAGATGGTTCACAGAGGCTGGCTGTGTGGCGCCCCACCAAGGGTCAGCTGTGCTGGCTACTTGCTCGTTTTGTTTTGTGGTACAGGGTAGGGAACTCTCCCATCTTACTGTCCTGAGTGCTGGGATGACAGGTGTGAACCGTATCCAGAGTGGCAGTGTTTTATTTTACACCGTGGCGCTTTGGGTTAGGGTTAGGGTTAGGGTTAGGGTTAGGGTTAGGGTTAGGGTTAGGGTATTTTTCAGTGTTCTGTTTTGCTTTTTTTAACAAACACACTTTATCCCCAGCACCCTCACCTCCACTCGCACCTCCCCCCACCACATGCCCACACACCCCACACCCACCAGGCACGTGGGGAGGTCAGAGGAGAACTCTGTACCGGTGAGTCTTGAGATGAACCTCACGAGGTCGCCAGGCTTGGTGGTGAGCAAGCAAGTCTATCTGCTGAGCCATCTCTGTGGCTGGTGATAGGCAGAGTGCCAAGTTTCTGAAGGGAACAAAAAAACCCTCCTGTCCTCCAGAGTAGGAAGGAAAGTTTCAGACTCATTTAAAGATTAACCCTTTTAAGACCTCCTTATTCCGTAAGGTATGAAGAGCGCTGAAAGTGGGTGTGAGCAGAGTGGGAGCTTGGTATCTAGACAGCAAAAGCCATGTTTACCTGTCTCAGCCATGGCCTTCAACATGCTTTTAAGAGTGTAGGTATTGGCCTCCTGTGGAGCCCCCACTGTGAGGCCCTAGTGCGCTTGGTTGGGTCCTGGGGATCTGTTTTGATGGCTACTTCTAATATCCCTGGACCACACAGAGGCCCGGGCCAGAGGTCCCATTGAGCTTCAAGCACCTACACGATTTGTTCCATTTTCATGTTACTCTCGAGGTTGGGCATCTTCTTAGGAACCTCGTGGCTTGGAGCTGGCTGTGTTACAGCTGAACTGCTGTCTGGATCATCAGAAAATGTTGTAGGTGTGTTCCATCAAGACCGGAAGTTTCAGCATCTGTTCGCC